TTGTAGGGATTAAAAACTAATCTTGAGAGCCGTTTGAGCCTAATAGAAAACACTGATATGAGATAGTATCACTTCCAACCTTGTATGGCTGAATTCCAGACAGTAGGATCTCGAGGTGAGGTACTTTGGTCTTGATCAGTAGTAACTCTTCCAGTTTACTCTTTAATGAAGATTTATTCAAGAAACCCTCAGTTCTACACTCATCTTTCAACCTTTTTTTATCTTTTGAAAAATAAACCTGTAATCTTAACAAATAAATTCCACATTTATGGCACAGTTTACTTACAGTGATTCAGTTTTGCCTTCAAATTGTGAGTTCATGTCTGTAGGGAAAATATGGACTAACAATTGGATGACTTTCCTAGATATCTGTTTCATGGCCTTTCACAGTCTGATGTTCTGCTTCCTTCATATGTAGTTTAATTTTTCTTTATACACAGATGACTCACACACTCTTCTTTTTTTTCTTTTTTTCTCTTGGAGACAGTGGAGATTGAATTCAGGGAGTGCTGAGGTACATTCCTAGCCCTAGCACATATATGTGTGTGTGTATTTGTATATGTGTAAATATATATGTGTATATATGTGTGTATATATATGTGTATATATGTGTATATATATATATTTTTTTAAATTTTGAAATAAGATCTCACTAAGCTTCCCAGGCGGGCCTCCAACTCACAATCCTCCTGCCATATCTTCTATAGTAGCTGAAATTACAGGTGTGTACCACCACGCCCAGCCTCACATATATAGTCTTCCACCTGTTATCAAATTCTTGTGCCAATGCAGCAGAAAAAGATAAATATACTTGTGCTGTCCAGCAACATCCCCCCAGTCACCTTCTGTTTTTCACCCCCTTGTTTGCCTCTACTCTGTCATGTCCAAGTCAAGTTATTTTAGCTGTTCCACATGTTCTTGTGCAGATATTTCTGCATTCTTTACTTTGAATCAAATGCTGTTACTTCACTGTGGCTTTCACTGTGTATGCTTCATGAAGAGATGATTTTATGGCCTAAATAAATAAATGATGTTCACTTTTGTGTACTTTGACTCCTTTTCTGATTCAAGTCTCTTGATTTTTCCTTTTTGCGTAGGTTTTGAGAGGGAGATTGGTAAGAAGGAATACATGCTGTTTTGGTGGGTAAGGACAGTGAGTAGTAATATTTTAGGCAAGTGTGATACTTCCTCTAAGCACAGGAACTATAGATTTGGAAGACAATTAAACTTAGATCCCAAACTATTTGTGCTATCATTATTGGCTTGCAAAATTTATGATTTTTGTCTTTGTGGACATTTATTTATATCTACTTCAAAGGACTGTCAAGAATTTATTAATTTGTTTAATTCTGAGTAAATGGAACAGTGAATGCTACAATTATTGGTTCAATTCATGAGTCACATTTTTTTTCTTTAATTTTTTTCTGACTGAAATATATTAGCTCCTCCCCCATTTTGGAAATGAAGTGAGACTACATATGTCATTTGGGTGATGGTATTAAAGAATGGGGAGTGGGGCTTCCAAATTACAGCTCTTTTCTTACAAGGCTATGGGACTGTTTAGATTTGACAGAGGTTGTCTTTCACCTTAGGCCACACAGTAAGTAAGAAAATCAGTTTGAAGCCAGATCTTTTCTACCAAGCACTACATGTAGCCTAGATAATGTCTTTCTGAAAATAGTTTTCATAGCTATGGTTCCATTCCTTGAACTTACTGTCTCCTTCACATTTTTATGTTTTTAATGGTATTTCCTATTTCTGGTGCTGTTTCCTAACCTTTTCTCCCTCTCTCCTTTCTCCCTGACAAGATCCATTGGCTTTTACAGCCAGAGAAGGCTTAGCACTTAATAGACTACTTTTTTGTGCTGTAATGATAGGACTGAAGTCCATTGAAGCAACAGAGGTGATCTGTTGGCCGTAGCCAGAGTTTGAATGTATATGTATTCCTTTCTCACGGGTTCTTTCATGACACTCTTTATTTGTCCTAGATTAAGTCATCTTAAATATCCATAAGTATTGGGTGTGGAGTAGACATGAGAACAGTGAAGCTCAGATTCAGATTTTAATTTCTGCCATGTCAGAGCTTTATAACCTTGGGCAAGTTACTTAATGGTTTTTGTGCCTCAATTTCCTCATCCAGCAAATGGGATGACATTGCCTGCTGGTTATTATGAAAAGTATATGAATGGTTGCCAGGGAAATCTCTGATAAATAGTATATGGCACATAGGAAGTATATAGAAGTGCCTGCTAAATAAATAATAAAAAAGAAAAGACAAAAAGGATCATACATTTGTGTTCTGAAGGCTGTAGAGAAGAACCCCTGCAGTTTAGAGGGGTTAGGGATGGGGTATCCATTAAAGGCTGTTTTTAGCAGCTACCTCCTTTGTGAAAACTTGCTGATTTTGCTCACCTATGAACTGCAGTATTCCCGACACCCCAACTATATGTGTTTCTTACAAAGCTCACCCCATTTAGATTTGCATTCCATCATCTACAGCTTGTTTTAGTCTCTCTATGGGCTGTAATGTGCAGAGAGTTGAGATTCTTTCTTTATTCATCTTTACCTTCTAATCATGATGCCTGAACGTGGTGGAAGTTCTGCTGCTTGTTGTTGAGCAGAACTGAATCAGATGTTACAGGAACATTTTAAAAGAAACAATTTTTGCAAGAAAAAAATTCAAACCTATCTGAATTAGTTGACTAGTTTCTGTTGATAATGGTGTCTGTGTAATAATTAGACTGGCTGCCCTTTAAAGAAAAATTGAGTTTAATTTAGTTTCATAAGTTAAACGTAAAAATTCCAAACATGTATGTTGAATTAAAGTGCATGTATGTGCATGCGTGTGTGCATGCACATACCAATCAAGCAAAAGAAGCTCCGGCTTTCAATATTCTTCATAGAATTCAACTTGGAAGGCAGTGAGAATATATCATAGACTTATATGGTTGTGTGAAGACGGATATTGGTGATTTCATAAACCTGTTGTTCTTGCTTACCAGTCACACTGGCCTGTCATTCCAGCTGTTAGACTCCTTTCAGACAAGCACTTAGCTGTTATCCTTCCTCCTGTGTTTATAGGCAGTGTGGCACAAAACCCCTGCATCATGCTGTAATAGACCATGTCCTTTGGCATCAGCTTTGGTTTTATCCAGTATCAGGGATTGAACTCAGAACCTTGCGTTTGTGAGGCAGGCACACGGTGCCACTGAGCTAAATCCCTGGCCCTTAGCTTTGGTTTTAAATAATGGATTTTACTTCTTAAGAGCTGTGTTACTTTTTTGGGGGGGAGGGGGTACCAGGGATTGAACTCGGGAACTTGCGCTCGTGAGGCAGGCGCCAGAACCACTGAGCTACATCCCCAGCCCTAGAGCTGTGTAATTTTATTTCTTAAAGTCTCAATTTTTCTCATCTATAAAGTTAAGACAATATATACCTCATAAAATTGTTATGTAGAGAAAACGATTTGTCAGATGCCTTGTGTGGAGTAGGTACTTGGTTAGTAAATACTTACTGCTAACCGAGAATCACACAGCAGTGAGAGATTTCTTTTGTCACAAGGGTGAAGGGTTGAAGGAGGACCCCGGGACAAAGGTATGTGGAAAAGTCAGCTTAGTCTTCTAGTTGGACACATGGAGAAAACATTTGCTCTTTCAAGGGTAATAGAACTTTGTTCTGCCTGAGTCTGATACCACTACTGGCCTGTGTCCATAGTATGGAAATGCAGACTCACAGAGCATATAGACAAATAGTGTGTTCCCCCTGTTGTATACCGCCAAAAAGCAGTCTGTACATGTGTTGGACACACAGATGTCTGTGAATCAAGCAAAGCATGAAGTAGTATAACCCAAAAAACAGACACACTAATTCAATTTTCTTTTTTCTTGTCAAAAAGATACTTTATGGAAGAAGAGTAGTGATAGTCAGAGCAACATGGTTCTGCCTAGTTGAGATCAGTATTTGAAAGTTGAGAAAAAAGAGTATGTTTTGTTGACTACATTCTTCATATTGCAGGGGTTTTTTTGGGTACCGGTGATCAAACTCGCATATTGCAAATATTTAATTCTGAAAAGGTAGACATCTAGAAGAAAATTGTACTCTCCAAGAATACTATACCCACAGAAAGATGATGATGTTAGATCTTGCTTATTTGACTCAAGCTGAGGTCTTTGGAGAGGCATGTAGGTTGCTGCCTAAAGTTACAGCTCATGAGGTACCTTCTGATCTGCACAATGGGTACCATGGTCTTGTTTTTGTTTTTTTTTTCTTTTTTTTTCTTTTTCTTTTTGGTACCGGGGATCGAACTTGGGACCTTGCTTTTCTTGAACTGGACTTCTAGCCACAGCATCACATCCATGTGTGAAGCGGATGGTTTCATGATTTCATTTTTGCTTTATTAGCTTTTGAGAAAAATAAAAACAAAGTGTATAACAATTATTTATTTTTTAGGCCTTGGATTGCTTCATAATAGTAAAGTTAAAATCACACAGGTTTGCACTTTTCAGAGTGCTTCATCTCTTGATTTATTGTATCACAGTGATAATAAGACAAGTGCTGGGGAAATTGTGGAATTCTTTTTACATCTCTTGTATGAGAGATATTTTTCCCTATTGCCTTTTCAGGTCTAATTCAGCTCAGTAAGTATTAGACTTTCCATTGTACACTAGGCCTTATGAGATCGTGGGGCTTTCATTTTTTAATTTGTTAAAATTGAATAACAGTATAGCAGAAATTGGTGTTGATAGCCTGTTCTCTGCCAAATGCTGTGTCACAGACCTGGTAAAAGGTGAAAAACACAGTTACTTGCTGTTTGTATGGGAACTAATTCACCTTTGTAAGTAACAGTTTTAAAAACTGCCAACCGTTTAGACAAATACTTTCAGAGCTCAGAGGAAGGAAGACTTGAGGCAAAATTTTGTGTGTCTAAGAGGACTCACCAGTGTCCTTCTTTCATCAGGGGACTCTAATGTCATTTTCACTGTGGTCTGTTCTTCCTTTAGGTCATGACTGCTGTGAGACAGTGAAGGTACAGCTCTGTGCTTCCAAGGAGGGCCTTCCCACATTTGTGGTGGCTGAAGAAGACTTCAGTTTTGTCCAGGATGAGGCATATGATGCAGCTCAATTCCTGGCAACTAGTGCTGGAAACCAGCAAGCTCTGAACTTCACTCGTTTTCTTGACCATTCAGGACCCCCATCTGGAGATGTGAATTCCCTTGATGAGAAGGTCTCACTGGCTTTCAGACATCTGAAGCTGCCAGCAGAGTGGAATGTATTGGGGACAGATCAGACTTTGCATGGTGAGAATTTATGTGATTTGGAACACTTGTGTTTCTGTATAGGGTTGCTTTTACATGATGATGCTATATTTATGACTTCCACGGTGATTGAATAAATCTTAGGATTACTGTAGTAAAGTGACCTTGAAAGGCATCTGTTCTACTGAGCCATTAATTTCTTTTTTCACTGAAATGACTGAAGTACCCAAGTAGAAAGTGGCACTTCTTCATGTGAGTCTGGATTTCAGGCTTGATCTCACACGAGGAGAGTAACCTCTTCGTGTTTAGTTATCAGAGATAGGATTTTTGTTAATATGTTCTGAAATTGTCTAGAGCTTCTTCGATGTTGGAGGAAAGTAACAATTGGAGAGTGCATCAGGGAAGCATGTAAGCAGGGTAAGTTTTGAGGAACCCCATAATTCTTTAACCAGGGTGGTTTCACTCTTACTGATTTTATCTACTAGCCCTCCATGTAAGAAGAGTTCTTTAAAAGACTACACTTATTAGGAAACACTGATGTAATAAGTACCTACATATGTATTCTTAATCAGATAAGGGCTTTCCCACATCATTATTTTTGTTGTAAATGACATCTACTAGATGTCAGGATTATATATAATATATATTTTTAAATATAAGATACACCTGGCATGCATAAACAACACATTTCCTTCCTAAGTGCAAATCCAATCAAAAAATTTAGGAATCTCACAAATACAGATCAAAATGTTGGCTTTAGTACTGATGAAAATTAGGTTGGAAGTCTGACTTTATAGCTCCTGCCAGAAGGATTTGCTTATACTTTCTACTTCATCTCTGCAAGACTGGATAGTCATGTAATTGATCTGCAGAGTCCACACAGCTATGATTATTATGTTATGTAGGGCAAGCTGAATAGAAGTCCCGTTTTCTACAAGTAAGCAGTTCCTGAGGAGGAAGACCTAGAGGGAACTGAGCCAGTGTATGCTCAGTTCCTCCTCTCTCAGACTCAGCAGAGTTGAGTCATTCTCAAATTCACTGAATTTAAGAGCAAGCAGTGTAATGGTATCCCATATTAAGAGAAGCATATAATCAGATACCAAGACAGACTTGCCCAGGTAGATATGAAAGAAAATGTGGACCTGGACCATAAAATCAAATCAAGGAAACAAACACCCTCTTTTTTTTTCTTATTATGTAGTGTCCCAGAGACTTCTGTATTGCAATGATCTCAAGATCTGAATATTTGACATTCAGTACCTATTTAGAAACCGAATGATGAGTCCTATTTCCTGTAGCTCCTGTTATTTCTGTATTGGTATGCAAATGATTATCTGGTTGCATTTACAAATCATTTAAAGGTGTAACAGCATTAGTTATTTGAGGAGCTTATGGCATTATTATGCTTTTGTCTAGTTTAAAGAGGGCTTAAGACTTAACTGGTAGAAAAAGCAGAAGTCCAAGAAACTGGCTATATCACTTTCCTTCTCTGGGTTCCAGCCTCATTGGTTTTAATAGGAACTTGGCAAGTTTGAATTTTTTGTGTATTTTCAGTATACTCCTAGTTTCTGCTGTACAAAATTGCTGAAGCAGTGCTAGCAAAGGTTAAACCAAATGTGACCTCTTTTGTGAAATACACAAATTTAAACCATAATATGTTTGTCTTTACACACTTATTAGCTTGGCTAAGATTAAAAAGCACCAAGTGCTGCCAAGAATGCAAAACATCTTACACATTGCTGATGGGAATGCACAGTGGTATCCAAACTCTGGAGGAGTTCGGCAGTTTCCACTTTTGAGTATTTATTCTAGAGAAATGAAAATTCATATTCACCAAAAGAAATCTGTGTGCAAATGTGTCTATAAGCATCAACATGGAAACAACCTAAAGCTCCCTTGGAGGAAATATATACACCAAAATAACCATATCGTGGAATACTAGACCCAATAACTTGGATGCATTTTAAATTGATTGTGCGAAGTCAGAGTTTGTAAAGGTTATGTACTGTATGGTTCCATTTATTTGATATTCTAGAAAAGGCCCAGATCAGTACCTGCCAGGGACTGGAAGTGGGGCAAAAGTCTGACTGCAAAGGAAACTCATGTGTACATTCTTTGGCTGTGTTGGAATTAATTGTGTGTCTTGTTAGTGGTAGTGGCTGTAAGAATTTATGTATCTGTTAAGACATACAGGATTATATAACTGCCAGAAGTAAACTGTATTGTATACAAATTTGAAATAATAACTGAATAACAAAAGTAATGGAACAAGTTTGGTCTATATTTTGCAAGTTGAAAGTCAGCTGGGATCTGATTTCAAGTGCTAGATTTGCATTTTGTAGTTTAAATTATTCTCTTTAGTTGTGGATTAGAATTTATCAAGACTGGGGTCGGGGATTTAGCTCAGTGGTTTCGCCACCTGCTGCGCAAGTGCAAGGACCAGAGTTCGATCCCTGGTACCAGAATAAAAACCAAAGAATTTATCAAGACTAGATGCGGTCGGGGAGGAGTAAAGGTATGTTTATAATTGAGGCTTCAGATATAATGGAATATTCTGTTCACATCAGTCAGTTACACATCAGTTACTTTTGAAAAGCTATTTAAAGGAAAAACTATGAAGTAGGCTTGGTGCCTAGAATAACAATACAGGTAACTAGAACACCTTGTTACATAAGAGAACTACTTGCTTTTGAAAGCTAGAATGTTTACAGGCTTTCAGCCTAACACTTACACAAAAGCGTCATGTAAGAATTATAGCTGATCTTCCTACTCCTAAATTGAGAGGTAATTCTTTTTAGTTTTCTTTCAGGCTAGTGACTCCTTTGAAAATAGCTTTGATTTCTTAGGAAAAAAATATATATAGGTGCCTGCCGGCACACACTTACATATATTAAATTTCACAGTGTCCCTGAACTTCAGGCATGAACATGAAGCTAAGAAGCCTTGGTTTAGATTTGATATTTTAAAATAGCAAAAGCATGGGCATTGGAGTCTCTCTTTTTATCAGGTGTCATTGCAACAGTTTGTGGAAAATGTTACATCTCTGTTATTCAGTTTTCTCATCTATAAAATAGAAGAAAGTATAGTGCCAGTTTGCAAACCAGTCATTTCAAAAATAACATGACCAATATTCAGTAACCTTTTAGAAGCACAAAACATTGGTAAAGTTATGACAAGGGATAGTGATATATCCTATAAAGGAAGACAGGCTAGGCCTAAAAAGAAGGCTCTTCAAAGGAGAATGAGGTGGTCTTTCTTAATGTTTTTACTTATTGCTCAAAGAATCCTCAGTTTAGGCTTGAATAAGAGGGTGTTTGTCCATTTTAGTTTCTCCAAGTACTCCCTAATCCTTAATTACATAAGGAAGCCTCTACAGCCCTGCCTTAAATGAAGGTGATGAGGATTTATCTGGGTGGAGGGGTTGAATGGTGAGACAAAGACATTCTCCTTTTCTGAGTTTCCAACTCTCACTTAGTTGCCTCAGTTCTTTAGTGTTTCAGCAGTTAGTGAGAATGTTGAATTGGTTGGATTTTCCCTGACAGACCAGTGTATATAGTAGAGATGAGAGTAGCTCTCAGGTAGCTAAGAGAGGGCGCATTGAAGACTTGCTCTAGAAAAAGCAAATGGAGAAACATCTTGGGTGGAATTTTCATTCTTATTTAGTCACGGTTTGTATAAGTAAGTTAAAAGATGTAATCCTCTTTCGGGGTGGGGATCCTCCCCACAAAGAGAAATTTAGATTGGGTGGTGAGAGAAGGAGGATGGATTTAAGAAAGATTGCACTAAAAACAGTCTGTGCATTCCCAGTTTTATAGGTTGTGGGTCTTTAGATTTAATCATTTGATGATTTAGTTCCCAGTGTTTGATAGTTTCACATGGAGATTTTTCCTTAAGTGCACTAGTGTTTGTATGTTTTTTCAGTTATCATTCCTTCTAAAGAAGAAAATAATAACATATGAAAAGACTGTTCGTGAATTTTTTTCTTGGCAAAGGATTAATAACTATTGACTCTTAAGATGAGCAGTGGCCTAGCAGCTCCAGGGCTACAGATCTAAAGGTTACCTCTTAAAACTTGGCTTTTTTAGAGTCAGAAGTCTCTATTCTTTTCTGCTATACTTTGATTTTTCCAACATATACATTTTTATTAGGGCATATTTTATAACATAGTTTGCTTGTGGAATTTTTATATACCCATATAATATACTTTGCCTCCCATTACTGTCCTGTACACACCCCCATACCCACCCCTCATTCCTTTCCTCTTATCTAATAGTCTCCCTTCTACTTTATGTCCTCTTTCCCCTTTTCTTTTCCTACCCCTCCCTCTCCCATTTCCTTCCTTCCTTCCTTCCTTCTTTCTTTCTCTTCTAGCTTAGGGATTGAGGACAACTAGTTTGTCCCCCCTCCCCTTTTAAAAATTCTTTATTTTGAGCTAAGGTTTTGCTGAGTTGCCCAGGCTAGGATGGAACTTGCAGTGTTGCTTTCTTAGCCTTCCAAGTAGCTGAGATTATGGCCTCCCTGCCTGCCTGCCTTTGATTCTGCATGTTAGGGAAAACGCATAATACTTACTGGCCTGTTAAGAATATTTTCCTTCCACATGTAATATGCAAATTTCTACATCATGTGGGACTTCAGGTTTAAGAGGCAGTAGAGAATAGTAGAAAGAATGGTGATTTTGGAATCTCAGATCAAAAAGAACTCTGAGAAGAGCTTACTGCATAGATTGATGTAATCCCTGATTATTTACATCATTAATGTTTTGTTTAGTTGGAGAATCTAACAATTTGAAAATGATACAACCTCTAGCAGGGTCATCATTGTTAAATGCTTTAAAGGCATGTAATTTCCTTACAGATGGGGTGTGTGTGGAAGGTGTATCCTGCATATAAGTAACTTAAGACATTATGTACTGAGGTCTTCTGTGGGTAGAAGCTAGGCCAAGATCTTTCCAATTAGTTTAAACAGGAAGACCAACCAGTGTGTGTCCTATGAAATACTGTCATAGGACAAGGGAAAGGGAAAAATACCATAAATATTTAGAAGATAGTTTTCATTTGTTCTTCAAAAAATTGAAGAAGTCAGATCTATAATGAAATTAGAGAAGAAAGAGAAAAATAGATTTAATGAGTGAATCAGCCAGGGTTCAATTAGACAAGCCAGACATAGGAAAAATAAATATCTCAAGGTTAACATATGGTTTTCTCCATTGTGGGGGTTGGTTAAGTAAGTCTGAAATGTATGGGGCACAAATGGGAAGATCTTGAGCAAGGCCAAACCCACCATCACTGGCCAAAGCTGTTGCCCTTGGATGGTTAGGAAGAAGACATCATGTGCAGGATGAAACTCCTTGGGCACAGGCTGTGGCTATCCTCCACAGGTGAAATCCTTTCTCTCCAGGGGGAAGCTAAGCCCTGCCATTATTTTAATTTATTTGCATATATTTTTTAGCTTTGCATTTTATAGTCTTTCACCTGATTCAGCGAGGCCTACCCATATTATTCAAGACACACCTCCCTTATAAAGTCAGCTGATTAGGAGCTTTAATTATGTCTACAAAAGAAGCCACCAGGAGGTAGAGAAGGAAAGATTGATGGAAATGTTGTAGGGACATACAAAATTCCATGGCGGAAGTTAAGTGCACAATAGTATGAAGGACCCAGTTTATGTGCTCTAAAAACAAAGTTAATTAACTCAGGAAAAAGACCAAGAACCATGAGAGAAAATATAAGTAGGACTAGAGAGAGGTAGTGAGTTATTGGTACTCTGCAGTTTAAACTGAGACAGAAGGAACAAAAGTAATGTGGAACATGAAGTAATGTTTACACACTTTTATGCTCTTAAGATGGGTCAGAAGAAATTCCATTTATATGTTCATTTGTTTATCCCTATGTACATTGGCCTCTTCTTGAGATCTAATGCACATGATTTCTGTGAAGTTCAAATTAAAATATGTGAAGAATAAACAGGAGAACATTTAAACAGAGTAGGATATGTATACAGGATGAGCTACTACTAAACAATAAAAAGGAATACACTACTGATAATGGCATTATGGGCAAATCTCAAACATGCTGAATGAAGGAATCCTTACACAAGAGGATCCATTGTATAATTTCATTTCTATGAGCTTTCAGAATAGCCAAAACCACTCTATGGTGAAAAATTCAGAACAGTTGTTAACTCTAGTAATGAGATGGTTCAACTAGGAAGGGGCATAAAGGAACTTTCTTGGATGGTGACAATTTCCATATTTTGATTAGTGTTTAAAACCAGTATATGCACTTGTCAGAATTCATCAAATGGTATATTATACTATTTCTATAACACTGTTTATAAGTCACCTAAAACTATAATCATGTATTGAACTCCAGTTAATCCTATAATACTAATGCCAAGTACACTCATGTTCTCAAGCTTACTTTGAAATGAATACAAATAAGATGGATTGATGAAAATATAGAAGAAATGATAGTTGGAGCCAGGCATGGTGACACATACCCAATGTAATCCCAGCATTTGTGATGGTGAACAGGAGGGTTGTTGGAAGTTCAAGGTCAGCTTCAATTAAGTACATAGGAAGACTCTCAAAAAGCCTGCCTTCAAAAGGCTAGCTAAATAGATAATGTGATAAAACAAATACAGAAAAATATTAATTGTAGGACCTAGGTCTGTGTTTGGTTATTTGTTGTTAGTTCTTTTTATTTATGTGTACATTTAAAATAATGAGAGTAAACTTAAAAGTCTGGTTTTAAAACCACACCATTAACTTGCTTTTATATATGAATATTTGTGGAGATAGCATGGAGTTATGGAAAGACTATGGCATTTAGATATGAGAGAAGAGAATTTTCAAATTTTGATTCAAACTGTGGGCAGATTATTCTATGAGCTTGTGTTCATTTGCAAAATGAAGATAATGAGATCTCATAGGGTTATTGTAAGGACCAAAAGGAAAAGGTTGAGATAAACTACATAGCCCACTAGATGGACTTTAGCAGCCCCTCCCTTTGTATTACTTTCCTTCTGTTGTCTGCCGAACCAGTCAACCTGTAACCAAGGGTGGCACCTACTGCTAAGGACTTCAGCATTAATGGAGAAGGATATAGTACAGGAATCAAGGTGTGATGTTCCGAGCAGGTGTGTGGTCTTATTGTTGGGACTGTACTTGTAAACATGAAGCTCACTCAGAGCAAATAAGGGGCCAAATAGGTGGAAGAGCAAAGGGAAAGCTACTTTAAGGAAGCATCACCCAGTAAGACTGGAATTAACTAGCTCTGGAAAAATCACATACCTGTATTTCCTGGTCAGTCAGTGCCTTATTAGGTCTTTAGCATTTGATAAGGATGTCAGAATGCTTATAAGCACAAGTCAGATGATGATATGTGATTTTGGTGAGAGTTCTTTCTGCCCTTTTTTCTTTCCTTGCCATCTCCTCATAGGTGTTATTAAAATTTGTACCTATACATGCGTTATCATTGCTCCTGGAGCATTGATTTCTGTTTTGTTTTTGTGGTACTGAGGTTCAAGCCTAGGGCTTTGTGCATGCTTAGCATGTGCTCTATCACTGAGCTGCATCCCTAGCCCCTGGGGCATGATTTCATTCCAGCCATATTCCTCTGCTTGAACTTTCTATGAATCCTACATAGTCCTGTAGGGAAAATATAAAATACGAAAGGTAAATTAATTTCCAAGGAAATTGACCTTGAAAATAAGGAAACTGGACCAATGCACAAATAACGTGAAAATAGTGCAGTTCAGTGTAAAATCACAGCTTCAAAGATGTGTTCATTTTGTTTGACATTCACACAAAGAAGCATCTGGAGATGTCAAAGTCAGGGGGAAACAGTGGGCTCCAAGAAGTCTGCTCAGTGAAGAAGTTGAGACCTGAGGGAAACCATGAAGAATGAGAGATGAAAGCAAGGCAGAGAAGAAGGTGGCAGGCACACCTGTTGGAATTGGGTTGTGGGGCCACATCCAGTAGCCTTTCAGAGACTTGGGCTCCTATCCTCTCAGATTAGGCTCAAGAGGATGGCTGAAGAAGAGAGAGTGTGTTAGCATGGTGAGGCTAAAATGTAATTTGAAGTCCAGGAGTACAGGACAGAGAGCAGAGAAAGGGAAAAGAGCTGGCCTTAATGAGTACCTGCTACAGCCGGTTGATAGGCTAGGACTTCATTTATCTCTCCTAACTTGTTACAGCTCTTAGTGAGGTGATGGTATCCCACTGTGGGTGCCAAGAAAGCAAAGCCCAGGCAGATGAGTTGTGCCTGCGCACACAAATGGTGAGTAACAAGTTTGAACCCAGATTTGCCTGACTTATAGAGCCCTTCCTCATTCCGCCACTTTCAGAGTGACTCATACCAAGGAGGAGCCTTCATTTCAAGTTCAATAAGCTGAAGCATGTTTCCTTTCTAAAGTTGTTAGTGTGTTGTCTTGTAAGAGTCAGTCTTTTTTATTATGGTTGAAGATGCATTTTTCTCATCGAACAAGCAACAAATAAATGCTGGAATTGCCAGCAGTTTGATATGTCCTTCATGTGGAGGAATAAAAGACCTGTGTGTACTTAACAAGTAGAACCTGTTTTTAGTGTTTAACCAGCCAACTCCTGAAGTAATTATAGCCTTTATGATATACCCATCTAAGTCCTAACAGCTATTCCCTTTGGGTCCCCATTTTGCAGGGCTGCATTTACTTTTTTTTTAAGAGGAAAAGAACATATATGGAGTCACCTTTATAAACTTCCCTGTGATAATGACCAAATGTGAAGTCAGAATACAGAAATGGCTTCCCTTTTGTATGACTGTCTCCTAGTGAAGATTTTGGTTCCCTTCTATTTTTCTAGCTTTGTTTTGTCTTGGAGAGCTCATTATACTTGGCCACGATAAAGTTGTTGTAGCCTACCTTCAGGATCAGAGGCACTTGGAGACAGTGGTGCTTACCAAACTTGTATTTTGTTGCCTTTTTTTTTTTTTTTTTTTAAAGTACCGGGGATCGAACTGGGGACCTCGTGCTTGTGAGGCAGGCAGCAGAACCACTGAGCTAAATCCCCGGCCTCTATATTTTGTTTTCATTGTTGCTGTACTCTTACTTATTTCCACCTTCTCCTTCATTTACAGATGGTGGTCCCCGGGAGACATTGATGCATTTTGCTGTGCGGCTGGGACTGCTGCGGTTGACATGGTTCCTATTGCAAAAACCTGGTGGCCGCGGAGCTCTGAGTGTCCACAACCAGGAAGGGGCAACACCTGTGAGCTTGGCTTTGGAGCGAGGTTATCACAAGCTGCACCAGCTTCTAACTGAGTAAGTGCTCATTCTCTCGATTTCCTTCCTCTTGTTGCCAGCCCCTCCCCCTTATTCATAGTAGTCCCACCCACTTGGCATCTCCCTGTGAGTGAGTTTGCCACAAATTAAAACCTCAGCTCTGTACCTTGCTTTCTGTTGGAGGTTGGTACATAACCTTGTTTCTGCTAATAACCACCTCATTATCTGAAAGACAGAACAGTAAGTCAGATTAATTATTTTCTCTCCCCTGCCTCCCTGTCTTTACTGTTTCTTCTTACTTTCTACTGGAAACTCAGAATGAGTCTTGTCTGTGGGGGTAGCGTAACATTACTAATGCATATACATTTTATCCTGGTTTAGTGCAAAAGGAAACAGTTTTCCTCTGCCATTTACTTTTTCTGATGTCTTCAAGACTTGAAGGTCTTAATTAGAAATATTATTTTCATATTGTAATTGCATGCAGAAAACATGGCAAATGATTGAGTTTTTATTAGAATTTATTTTCTGTGAATACAGTTAAGGGCAGTAGTCAGTAAAAAGCAACTGAGTTGTTTTGGAAAGAGGTAGTAGGAAACCCTGTTTGTCTTTGGGTTCACTTGTTATACATTTTGACTCTGAGGACTTTGGAGGAAGGTTGTTAAGTCAAAATATTTGAAGAGTTCTTTCTTCTTGTATAGGTGGAGAAATAAATGCAGTACAATAGCCACTCCTTTTCTTTGGAATATTTATAAAAGGCAGAAGTTTCAAGAATAGTTTCTCTTGTTTAGTATATTTTCTATTAGTTTTATTGTAATCATCTTTTCCACCGCATTATCTGAGCAAGAATAACCTCCCTGAATCTGTGTTCTCTACTGATTTAGGAACCCTTATAAACTGAAGCAGTATTCCCAGATTCTCAGATATTTTGCTCATGCCACCTTTAATTGAGTTGTATTTTATGCTTTATCATTTTTAGGTGTGGTATGCAAGGTAATGGGGAAGTTCCCTAACGAGATCTCAGAAAGTAATGCTACTTACAGTTGCGTAAAATTTTTTTCTTGCTTGATGTGCCAAGTTTATAACTTGCCCAGTCCAATCAGACAGAAGGTTCTTTGCAGATATTCTCTGATGGGTGCTAGAGATACGGTGGTGGTAGGAGGGGTATTCTTCATCTCAAATGAACTGTGGACACCTGAGCTCTCCTATGACCGTATCCCAGAGAGCGATATATTCCTCTCCTTCCATACTTCCCATTTGGCCAGTGCTTGGATTCATTCTGCTGGTCTTGGGAAAGGAGGTCTTGTTCCAGAAGTTGAAACAGTTAACTCACTGTAACTATTGTGAAGTTTAAATACAGTTCCTCTAAATTTGATTTTATAGCACAGATGTCTGCTGGAAAGCAGAGTTGGTTAATGACTGCCATCCAAACGGGGAAATAAAGTGATTACAACAGCTTCATTATATGCTTGGAAAGGGATGTCACAGGACTGTTATTGCAGCATACAGTTTTAAGAAAACTGGAGTATTGGAGATTTTTTTTGCTGCCTTTAAAGAAATACTTCCGTTACATGTGGAAAGCCCAGTTCTTTATAAAGGAAGAGCGGTAAGGGAAAACTAATGGGAAAAATCTCCCAAGTGTAGGACTTTGATGCGAGAGTATGAATACCTTGCTTGCATATCCAGCCCTTAACTTGAATTCTAGACAGTTAACTCTTCTGAGGCCTCAAAAAAAAACAACTGCTGAGTCACAGCTAGCAATTAAAAAGTGATAAGGAACAGATTCTATTCATTCAGTATTACTGTGATAATAGTAGACTGCTAGAATTTCAGCCACAATCCGTCAGGAAAGATTTTTTTGTTGTTGTTTTGTTTTGGTCTACCTATGTGTGTCATATATTACATACATACATAAAATTTACTTTTAATCATGTTTAGATATATAATTCACAATTCACTATCCATTTCCAGAACTGCTTCATAACCCAAGCAGAAACTTTGTACCTATCAGGTACTGATGTCCTATTCAGTCTCTTTCCTTGGCCCCTAGTAACTTCTGTTCTACGTTCTTCTCTTAAGAATTTGTCAGTTCTAGGTATCTCACATAAAAATCATGTAATATTTGTCTTTCTGTGCCTCACTGTTCAATGTAGCTTAATATTGCCAAGCTTCATCCATGCTGTAGCATGTGTCAGAATAATAATGTGTATTTCACAATTGCTAAAAGTAAACTTTAAATGTTCTCATCACAAAAAATAAGTAGAAGAGACGATAGACAAAGTAGCTTGATTTAGTTTTTCTACAATCTATACATATATCGAAACATCACATGATAGCCCATAAATACATAGTTATTGTCAGTTAAAAAGAAAAAGCCCACATGTAGCCAGAAGATGGAAATAACTTAAATGTAAATCACCAGATAAATAAACAAGGTTTATATACACAGAACAGAATATTATTCAGCTTTACAGAGGAGAAAGATCATCTTTATAAAATGGGGAAACAGATCCAGAGAGAGAAAGTAATTGGATTAATTAAGGTTACAGGATGGGGGACAAAAATAAAAGCTATACCTCCTAAGAGCCTGTCCAGAGCTCCTTCCACTTCTAGAATTGTTACCAAGGGGCCTATAAATAGACTTCTTGGGGTGGGGGTCTCTATCCCTTTGAATTAATTATTGGCAATAGTTTATGGACATTTCTGAGTTGAGTTTGTTTTGTGAAATTCATAAAGGGGTTTGTATAAAGTTAAGAATTGCCACACTGTGTATAGTGCTGTCATTCTGATACTTAGTAAAATCATTTGACATAGGATTTCTCAACCACTTTACTAATTTTTTTTCCATAAAGGTGCCTGCCTTTATCACACCTTGTCAATTAGTATAAAATTGAGATGTGATTGTATACATTTTAAATTTACTAAATAACTAGATCCTACTTTTTACTAAAAACAATGGGTTTAACCACTTTTATAGTCCTCTCAAAATAATATTTAATTCCTTGCTTTATTATTTATTTAAATTTGGGTAGTGTGAAGAGGCATTGTACTTGTTAGAGCCTAAATTATTTTGTGTTTCTGTGTCTAGGCTTATTTTAATTGACAGTCCATCTTGACAAACTGAATCTTACCTCTTTGTGAAAACAGTGATTAGTCATTTTTAGAGATAGAAGGATTCTCTCAATTGAGGCCTGTGTCTTTAGAACCAGATAGAACTGTTCAGGACATATTTGGTACTTCCCCTTTATAAAACCTATGACTATTGAATTTCACTTAGCACAGTGACAGGAGGGAGAGATTTTTATTGACTTGTTGATTTTATTTTAGGTTATATATATTTTTTTTTTTCTCAGTATTGGGGATCGAACTCAGGACCTTGCTCTTGCAAGGCAGATGAGGTGCCCCTGAGCTAAATCCCTGGCCCAATTTTAGGTTATATTTTGATCATACATTATGAATATGAATATATTTCAGATTTTAAAATTCACTTTAAGTAAAGTATTACCAGTCTTGCTAGAAATTTTGGTTCAGAAAAGTACACTTACTCCTAAAGGTAGATGCTCTGTCTTCTTCCCTAATTTGAAGACTCCCCTCTGGAGGTCACCTAACTAGTTTAGTGATGGATAGATTAGGGACAGAACTCTAAGTGTTCAGGCTCTTGGTTTAATGAAGGCGAGAAAGTGTCAACTTTGGAAGAGTGTGGCATCAGATTCATCTAAGAAGAGAATGTTACAACTGGGTGGTATCAGGCCCAGCTAATATATCACACATAAAAAAAGGAATTTCAGAACCTGGATGCTCATATTGGAAGGGACGGGCTGAGAGTAAGCAGCAGCTCCAGGAAGTGGCTAATTGTGGAAACATGGAAGTCAGACCTAAACTTGTGTTTTGATTTTGCCATTTTTAGATGTATTATTTCAGATATATTAAGTAACTTCCGTCTCTTAACTCTTGATTTCTTCATCTGATACCCAGCTCATGAAATGATGACCAGGTATATGTAATGTGAAAAATCAGAGCTTATCATACTGATTGTGATTATTCTGTGAGCAAATAAAAGGGATATAAATACTTGAGTTTCAAGAGAGAAAATGGCATGGTGACGTTGCTTAGAGGTGAAGAGTTTAATTAAAGACTAAGCTTCCTCACTTATTAGCCCATGTGACTTGGAAAAATCAGCTATTCACTGTGAGCCTCATGTTTCTCATCTTTTATGGGTAATGCCGTTCTGTCTACATCACAAGATTAGAACCAAATGTAGTTTGTACAGATACTTAAACTATGGTGATCTGTTTGAAAGTTTCTTATAAGTATATAGCAATGGCATTAATAAAAGTAAGTTCACTGATCAATTAAACTCAAATTCTAGTTGATTGTTCTACCTGGAGTATCTTTTTAATAATATTGTAGTTCTCTGTTAAATAAAGTTCATAGAGTGTTGGGAAAATTAGACTTAGAGCAGATAGTTTTGAATGCAGGGGTTACTTCTGTGAAGCTGTATTAAATAAAATTAATTTGGCTTTCTGATAACATGCCTGAAGGTGATTGAACAAGGGATTCTAGATGAATCATTTTCAGTGTTGCCATCCTTAGAAGAAGAGATTAAGAAAGAATCATTTTCAGTGTTGCTACTCTTAGAAGAGGATTTCTTCTATGAACTTCAACTCTAATATTGACATAAAAATGCCAAAATATTTCAGTTGCCTCTAGAGCCAGTTGAAAAGTATTTGTCCTTACAAACTTTATTTAATTTTGAGTATCAGTTCAAGACATCCTTATTTATCAAATGCCTACACTCCAGTAGAAACCTTAGTTGGGACATTACAGATGCTATTTTATTTCAGCTTTATAACGTTCTTTTTGAAGTTGACATTATTTATGTTTTATGGATGAAATATGGAGACTCAGAGAACTAAAGTAACTAGCCCAAGCCTTACATAGAAAATAGTACATGTACTATTCCACAGACATTGTGGAATTCCAAGGCCCATATTCTTCCATGTACAAAAATTTATCAGAGGGGAGGAAGAGACTCAGGAAGA